GGAGGGGGTGAGGGGCATGCGGGGCGGGGCCTGGCGGGCCGGGGCGGGGCCCGCAGTCGCTGGGGGCCGGCGCTCACCCCACCAGCAGCTGCTCCAGCCCCTTCTTGATGGCGCAGTCCGTGTAGGTGCCCTTCCCGAAGTACTTGATGGCGTCCACGCGCCCCTTGAGCGCGGCGGCCTCGCGCGGCATGGGCAGCAGCCCCTGCACGATCTCCACCTCGTCGCTGTAATGCAGCGCTCCCGCGTTCCACACCAGGTTGCGGTCGCAGCGGTAGTACCTGCGGGCAGGGCAGGTCACTCCGTGCCCTTGGGCCTCCCTGGCCCGGCCCCTCGTCAGGGCTGGACAGACGGCCCTCGGGTGTGGTGTCCCCGCCAGGGTCTGCACAGGGTGGGGCGGGCCGCTGGGAGGGCTGGCCAGTGAAAGAGCCGTGAGGGACAGCCGGACTCCCTCCGTGCGCGGGCGGCGGCCACGCGGCCACGGGCTGGGCAGCTGCGGGCACCGGTGCGGCGGGGGCCCAGGGGGCTGTGGTCTGCAGTCTCCCCTCTGCCCCCAGGTCTCTGGCCCAAGGGTCCTCTGCCGGGGTCTGGGGTGGCCGCACCCCATAGCTGCCCAACACCCTGCCCCGGGCGCAGCCACCCCAGGGCCATGGCCCGGCCCTGAGGATGGGCAGGAGCCCAGGGCTCTGGTCAGTGGGTCAGCAGGGCTGGGCAGAACCTGGCAGGGACCCCATATCGTGGCCTGACCCCACATCCTGCCCCACCCTGGGTGTGGTGAACAAGCCGAGTGAGCAGCTATGGCACCTCCAAACCTGGAGCAGACCTGGCACCCCCCGGCCTCTCCCAGGCTCAGGGGCTGCTGGACACAGTCTCCGACTGGCATGTCGGCGGCCGTGACGTGCGTCCCGGCTCCAGGCAGAGCCCTCGGGCTCGGCAGCTCCCCAACCCACCAGTTCTCGGGGGGCCCTGCCTCCTCCCTGCGTTCCCGAGGGCCCGCCGGCTGACCCACCAGCCGGGCAGTCCGGGCCGGCGCCCGCGTGCCCACCTGTCTCTCAGGTGGTCAATGAAGCGCTTGGTGAAGTCCTTGATCTTGTCCACCAGGGCCCCGTAGGGCTTCAGCCGCAGGGCCACGCTCTCGGAGGTGTCCAGCACAAAGAACAGGTCCACCGGGCAGTCTGGGCGTGGGGGGGAGCCAGCTCGCCCACAAGCCCCGTGGGCCCGACGGCGCTGGGGGAGCCGTGCCCAGGGCGTCCATCCCCCGCCCCTGCCCTGAGGATTCTGGATTTTGCACCCCCAGAGGGCACCCCGCTGAGCGGCCAGTTTCTCACTGGCTTCCAAGTTGGATTTGAAGCTTCAGAGCTGGGGGCAGGAGCTTCAGGGGAGGGGTGTGAGGACAGGGGGCGCCTTCTGGACAGTCCCCCAAGGAGTCCAGAGGCCCTGGCCGGCAGAGGGCAGCGGCTCTGGCCCGACGGATTCCGGAGGGTGGCGGGTGTGAGTGGCCAGAGCCAGGGCCTCCCCGGGTGGCCGCCAGCACCAAGAGGGGAGAGCCCCTGCCCGGCCCTCTGTCCAGCTGCCCAACCTGCCCGCCGGGCGCCAGGGTCCGGCAGAGCCCACGGGCCACCCACCTTGGAAGGCGACAGCCTTGGTGGCCAGGTCGTCCTGCGCAGTGGCCCAGAAGGCCTGCAGCAGCAGGGGCAGCAGCGCGCGGGCCGCCCTCATGGCCTCGGTGGCCGGAGCGGGCAGGTCCTCGAGGAGGGAGTCCGGCTCTGGGGTCTGGGGCGGCCGCAGAGCCGGGAGGGAGAGCCAGAGCCGGGG